AAGAAGGCAATGAATCCAATGAGTGTGATTGGGCCCCTTTTAAACAAAAGAAGACCCAATTAAAGATAAGTAAAAGTGGCAACAAGGAAACAACCTAAGATATATAATTAACCTGTAGAACTTAGTTATCATTGGGTAGAATTAATGGATGGTATTAAGTAGATCTGTAAGATTTAAAAAGCATTTGGCACCTACATGAATAAGCAATGATGTTAGTATCTAATATCCCCAGGGATAAGTATCATTATCATTTGTTAATTTCACTTATGTGCTGAAATATGTATTTTATTGCTTGCCCTGATGAAGTTCAATGAATATGAGAATCTTATATTTTATAAGCTTGAGTTAATTAGGAGCCACATAAATTCTGTAGTATAACATCCTTGAAATAAGAAATAGAATTTTGACATGACAATTAATCTATGTTTTTGCTGCCAGGATCAGTGTTCTTGTTTCAAAATCTCCATTAGTATTCAAGTTGGATTTCAGTGTTGCTATCATGGCCTCCATTACTTCCCTAGGGAAACTATTCTTTCTTTATTATTTTAATTTAAATTTCTGATTAAATCAAAGGAAACTATTCTTTAAAGTATTATAACAGTTGTTATTTTGAAGCAACTTTTCTTTACTCTTAGGCCTCTTCTTTCTTTCTCTATTCATCAACGAATATCTCACTACCAGATATATATCATTTTAAAAGGCAAAATTCTCATCTAAATATATATATAATATTTCCTTCTAATAGTTGCGTCCCATATTTTGGGGTCCTTTTCTACCACACCTTCTTCTCATATTTATTCATTAGTTTGACAAGCGTTTTTGGAACTGCTACTTAACATTGGCAGGTAGTGTGGAGTGGCAGAGAGGACAATGGCTTCGAAATCTGATGAATTAAGGTTTGAATCCTGGCTGTGGTAAGTAACAGCTAGCCGCTTGGGCAAGTCAACCAATTTGAGCCTCAGCCTTCATTTGTGAAAGGAACGGCAAGATGAAAATACCCCCCCTAGCAGAGTTCTTGTGAGGATGTGAGGTTATGTCCATCTGACATCTGGCACATGGTGGGCACCCATCCTGTGGCAAATGCACTGGGTGACTTTAGTTTTGCACTACTACTGTGTCCTTGGAGAGAACTCAGAGCAAAATGTCTTTTTAGCTCTTCTTCATTTTTGCTGATTCTTCTTGTTTTCCATCTATTTTACTTCTGGATTCTCATTCCATGCTAAGCTCTGACTTTGCCTGGTTCCTGCCACTGCTGCTGCCTAGTTTCCAGAATTGGCCAACAAGGTGACATGGAAGGCCACCCCTGCCTCTTTGGCAAGTTCACTTTGATGCAGACAGTGTTTCCTTGTTGTCCCCACCCCCACCCCCAGATTTATAGGACATCCTAATGATAGGGAAGCAAAAACTTTATTTTATGGAAGAATTTTGTTCATCTGATTTACAGGAAGGAAATGGCTACATAAGAAGGGACTTTCTTGTAAGTGTTCTAAAAGGTATGAGTGGTATTTCTGGAATAGTAAAGAAATTTGTTATTTGTTTGTTTTGTTGCCAGCTACAAAATGGGTAAGATATCATGAAACTACAATGTAACATAAAATGTACCTACTTCTTTTCTTGTTACTAGCTTATGTTTTTAGTACTTGGCTGTTGCCTTAGCTTTGGAAGTATGTCCAGTAGGAATTGCATCCAGATTTGAAAGTGGAAGAAAAGGAGACCACCCCTCTCCAGAACAAAGAGGAGGAGGAGGAGAAAGAGGAGGAGGAGGGGAGAAGGGGTGGATGGGAAAAGAGAGAGAGAATGGAACAAGGTCATCAGAAGGCTAGGAATTAGTGAGTCCGTAAATTTTACTGAAAAGTCAGAGCTTGCAAAGCACAGTGCATGGCACAGGAACTGAAATTAGTTTGACTTCGGTGACTGGTTTAGGGCATTTACTTAGTACATATACAGTGACTGGCTAACAGCAGCTATTAATATTTGTTCTTTTTTGGGTCTTGCTTTAGAAGAGACTCTTTTCTTCTGTTCATTTATTCTAACCTTGAAAGGCAAGAACATCTACCTTCTTGGAACTAATGGGGAGAAAGCTTCTGCCTTTCCTTTTCCACATTAACCTTCATTTCTTCTTAAAGTAAGAGGAGCAATTTGCTGACACAGGGGAATGAGACAGTGTGTGTATCTCAGGTACTCTGGGGCTCCCTCTTTCTCAATTCAGTCTACCTGGAGGGTGGGCACATGCTCATCCTGCTCTTATCTCTCCTGTGCAAGGTACATCTCAGTCAGGGCCCAACATCTGCTGCCTAAAGAGAGTTTGGGGCCTTGTGTGGGTGCACTCCTGGCTGCAGACTTGAACATGCTTCTTCACAGATTCTCCCCACAGGGGATTCGAGATCTAGACTGGAGGGAAACTTGAAGGAAGCCTCTTTTCAACTAAAAAGCCAAATCGTGTTTTGTAGTCCACTTACTGCTACATAGAAGATATTTGGATTCCTTACTACTAACATAGAAGATATTTGGATTCCTATCTGACTTTGGAATAATTCTCAATGGGTGTCAGTGTCAGAGGAGGTGGGAGAATAAGGCATGTTTCATGATCTTCTTTGCAAAATGCAAACCTTTAGAACTCTTTATCCCATGGTGGTGAATTCACTGGGAAAGCTTAAGACACATGCACAAGGGCTAGTTTGCATAAAAATAACAACAAGAACCCCTGGAGAGATCAATGCTTTGGGCTTAACAGAGGTAGGAGGTGTGGATGCTTATTAAAACACACTATTTGTTGGAATTTTCTTTTACCTGTAAAATTTTAATCTTACTATGTTGTTTATTGAACACAATATACACATGCATGTCATTTAAAGTATGCTGTGGTTTTATGAGGCTTGTTGAAATACACAGCAGCCCAATGCCTCTCTACCCCCTTTTCTCCAGCGAAAACCACTTTCCAACTCATATAATTGGTTCTTTTGGTTCTTACCTCCACATAGCTTAAGAACATACTTATTCACTCTAGCCCAGGCAACAGAGTAAGACTCTATCTCAAAAAGAAAACAAAACAAAAAACAACAAAAAAAACATACTTATTTTGCTACCTCTTGATTTTGAAGTTGTAGACAGACATCACTTATTTTCTTAAGCCTTATTTATTGACTTCCCATTTAAAAAAATGAGGATTTAGGTCTCTTTTTACACCCCATCTTTTACCATGTCACCTTCCCATACCCCATTCTCCTAATATAGTGCAATGCTTGTAAATTTGAAGTTGTCTCTCCTGGAGGTGGCTGACCTCTATAGTACGGACCAGCCTCCTCATTTCCTGTGTCCCACCATCATCCTGGGCTCTCTCTTCACTATTATCCTAGTAACTCTTTTCTGCCACTCTGTGTTGGATCCCCTCCTTCCTGGACACTGTATCCCCCTTGTTCTTTATATGGAGCATGTCGTCCAGTACATTCCTGCCTGGGATACTCAGTCAGAGGAATCATTATTGCTCAGAATCTCAAGAAGGAACCAGACTGATTTTTAATATGTGCTTTGGTCTTGACATCTGAACAGGAGCAGAAAGAGACCAAAAGTGAACAACACCCTGACTAGGCTGGAGCAAGAAAGGGATTTCTTTAGGAGAAAGGTTGTTATCTACCACATTTGTAAGGCTAAAGGAGATATCCCACTTTTAAGGAAGTCTTAATTACCTGTCACTAGATCAGAAAGAGGGCCTGGGGTCCAAAGGAACCCAGTGGTGGAAGGGAGGTAAGTTCTCAGACAATAAGCCAAAATGACTCCCTGATGGGCTCTGGTCCAGAGAACTATCGAGAGCCATTCCTTTTAAAGGTGTGTTTGGGGCAACTACCCCCTCAGCACTGGATGGTTATACCAAGTGGTTACATTCGAGGGGGGACTGAGATGATCAGGGGAGAATATGTTGAGCATTCTTAATTCTTAATGAGAAGCATTCTCATTCTTAATGAGGAGCTTGTAGTTGACAGTTATTTGAGGTGAGAAATCAAGTATGTTATGGACCCAGAGGGAACATGCTTAGGAAATTTGTTGAGTTAGAAATCCAAGAAAGGACACAGGGTAGATGAGATAAAGTTAAGGAGAAGCAGGGAGGACAGCAATATTTTGTTGAAGTCATCTGAAATTTCTAACTTTCCCCACATAGTTGGACCCATTGAACACTGGGAGCCTTTGGAGAAACAATTTTGCTTTTCCTTCCATGGTCACTCATTACTTCTTCCTGAGTGAGAGATGACTTACCTCTAAGATTGCATATATAACACACCTCCAAGCTCTTCAAGTTGTATATATTATTAAACATGTACAACTTTTTGTACGTTAATAATATCCCAATAAATTGTTTTGTTTTGTTTTGTTTTTTAATTGCGTATACAGCTCGGCCCCTTCTGAAACACTTGTTTTCTGGATGAGCTTTCCCAGAAGACAAGTGCATTCTCCCCGACTTGGTAAGGCTTCCTGGGGCAAGGTCTTGGGTCTAGAGACCTACCTCCCTTTGTCTTCTTCTTGAGAATTGACATATGAGAGGCCCATCAGGCTTTGCTGGGCTGCTGACTGAGTGTCTGATTTGCAGATTCTCTCCTTAGGCAAGTCCCAAAGTCTGAATTGGGAGAACGTCGAAGAAGCTTCCTTTTGATTGCAGACCCAAACCATGTTCTTCAACCTTTGGAGCAAGGAAAGCCAATATTTTCATCCATACTTGATTTTTTTTGTTGTGGTTTATCTCTCAAAGTTTCAAAATCAGTGGTCACAAAGGGGTAAATTTATTACCTCAGTAAGATTATCACATCATAGAATGTATTCTAACAGAATTGGAGGCATTAATATTGTGGTAGAAAACATGGAAAATAAAAACAAAAATTACCTCTATAATATGGTTAGGAAATTCTCAAATAAGAATGAAGAAAAATGGCTCAATTTCCTTTTATAAATGTGTTGAATTTATTAGGGGTTGGAGTAGAGATTGTAACTCACTTTTCTTTTTCTTTTAGGATTTTGGGAAACCTGGATATTTTCCTACCCAGCAGTAATGTCATGAGTCACATTTTTATGAAGAATGTTAGGGTTTTTAGATGGAACAAGTTGGCAGCTATTTGTTATCAACAATATTTGTAAGGGATGATGTTAGATCTGTAAGAAAATAAAATGTATATAATAAAGACATTGCCTTTTATCTATATGTGGAGTCTATTTATTTATTGAAAACATGAAAGATATTATTTCAAAGAGGTATATGGAGAATTGAATAGACCAATGTAAAAATGGTAATAAATATCATTTATTGAGTGCTTACTCATTGAGTGCTGGGCATTATGTTATGCAGTGAATGATGATTAGCTCACTTAATCCTCATAATCATCCTATAAGGTAGATGCTATGGCTATTAGTATTTTATAGATGAGAAAAATAAGGCCAAGAGAGTTTAAATAAATCACCCAAGTTCATAAAGCTGCTAAGTGGCAGAATCAAGATGAACTCCAGAGTTATGGCAGTTCTGAAGGAGCTGGCAACCAACAGCCTTTATTTTCCCCATGTTTATTTTTTCTTTAGATGTAGAGGTCCTCTCAAAGATAATAGAAGTGAGTTACTTTTTTAAAATTATTTTTAGAGACAGGATTTGGCTATGTTGTCCAGGGTGGAGTTCAGTGCTGTTCACAGGTGAAATCATGGTGCACTGCAGCCTTGAACTCCTGGCCTCAAGCAATCTTCCTGCCTCAGCCTCCCAGTAGCTGGGACTACAGGTGTGTACCACTGCACCTGGCAAGAAGTGAGTTACTTTTAAGATTTGAGATTTTCCAAGCAATTTTACATTACTATTTCTGGGTTATATTCACCTCCAACAAACTATGTGTGAGAACTTTATCTGAATTTAGAGAATTTAGCCTGCCATCATGATGAAAAATTTAGCCTACCATCATGAGGAAAAACTCAGACTTATTAGCACTGCCATTGCATACATACATATAAAATATATGCACATGTGTATATATGTCTTATATATACACATATAATATACACACACATACATTGTCACCTATAAAATTCCCAGATGTTGATTACAATAGAGAGTGCAGTTTGAATCAAGAAACTTGTGAGTGGCTCCTTCTCCCTGGCAAAAGCATGCCCCTGGCTGAGGCCCCTGTGGATAGTGAGGCCTATCTCCCCTTGGCCTTCTCTCCCCTTGGACTCCTGTGGTAGAAAAGGGGAGCACAATTGAGGATCCCCTTACCTGCCAGCATTATGCAGAAATGCACGCTGTTGGGTCAGACACACGAACTGAGGGGTAGTTTGAGAGCCAGTCTTGGTCAGCAAGGGAACTCACGTGCACTGATCTGATGGGAGAGTGTTGTGGAGTTCCAGAGAGTGAATAGGGAGGATGCTTACCCCACCCCGCAAAGAAACTATGCTAGGAGACAAGAGCAGAAAGAGCCTGGCCCAGGACCACAGCAAAAAAGCAATTAGGCCCCTCCCAAGAACAGCCTTTCCTTGCTTGGCAACATTGCCCTGAACTTCACACTAGTGGCTCCTTCTAACAGCTGGCTAAGCAACCTCTGAGCCCTGCCGAAGGTTTGCAAAGCCTATCAGGCTCTTGCAATCCAGCCACAATCTGTCTTGCTCTTCCCCTACCTCAGCAAGAGTAGAGGTCAAGTAATTTGGGAACTACATGGACCCTCCTAAAGCTTAGGGCATTCATGTGCCCCACCAGGGGGACCAGAGTTTACCTTGGGAACAAAAGAACATTTTGACAGCTGACTCTTCCACGCAAACTTCAATCAATGACCGGGAGAGCAACCCCATAGCTAAGCCTTCCATCTTAAACAAATAGGAAGTGTCTGATTCATACTCACAAGTACCACCCACCATCTCAGAGATTAAGTTGGGGACATAAATCACTACACATTGTTGGGAAGAGGTGAAGACAGCAGGTCACAGGTAATCCAAGAAGTTCATTGGACTTGCTAGAATACCCCATAAGCAACTCAGGACCAGCACCCCCTCCCTGGAACATACAGGGATCAATCTTTGGGAACCCAGAGACAGGCCCGTAAGCCAGGTCTAGCACCCTAGGTCTTGATCGAGAGGCCAGATGAAAAGGAATCACTGAAAGAACTCCAGAAACATGAAAAATCATAGTGAAAGGACACCCCTAAGAAAAAAACAATAACTCCTTACCAACAGATACCAATCAAAATGAAAAGAATGAAATGACAGATGAAGAATTTCAAATATGGATTGTAAGAAAGCTCAATGAAATACAAGAGAAAAATAGAAAGCCAACACAAAGGAAACACAAAAACAATGCAGGAAATGAATGAAAAGTTCAGTAAAGAAATAAAATTATTTAAAAAAGAATAAAACAGAACTTTAGAAATAAAAAATTCATTCAAGGAAATACAAAACACAGTGGAAAGCCTTAATAATAGACTAGATCAGTCAGAAGAAAGTATCTCATAGCTTGAAGACAATACCTTTTAGTTAAACAAGTCAATCAAAGAGGAAGAACAGACAAATAAGAGGAATGAACAAAGCCCACAAGAAATATGGGACTATATAAAGAGGCCTAACATAAGAACCATAGGCATCCTTAAGGGTGAAGCAGAAAAAACACAACTGTCAGAAAAACTAGTTGAGGGAATACTTGAGGAGAATTTCCCTGGCCTTGCTAGAAATCTGGATATCCAGGTACAAGAAGCTCAAAGGACTCCTGGAATATTCATCATAATGAGGCTATCACCATGACACATAGTCATCAGACTGGCCAAAGAAAACATAAAAGAGGCGCTCCTATGAGCCAGAAGACAAAAGCATCAGGTAACTTACAAAGGAAAACCCATCAGACTAACTGCAGACTTCTCAAAGGAGACCTCACAAACCAGATGGATTGGAGCCCCATTCTCAGTCTTCTCAAACAGAATAATGACTAGCCTAGAATTTTGTATCCTAGAATGCTAAGTTTCTTATATGGGGGAGAAATAAAGACTGTCTCAGACAAGCAAATGCTGAGAGAATTTGTCAAGACCAGACCTGCCCTGCAGGATGGACTTAGAACTGCATTATACACAGGTCAGCACAACAAACATCCACCAGTGTAAAACTATCCAAAAGCTGAAGTTCAGGGCCCAGATACCATAATTGCTCAATAGGAAAAACAAAGCAATAAAGTTCTATGAAACAGATTGAACAGAAACCCACCCCACTTATCAATTCTTTCAATAAATCTGAATGGTTTGGACTTCCCACTCAAGAAACATAGGCTAGCTGCATGGATAAAAAAATACAAGCCAAGTATCTACTGTCTCCAGGAAAAACATCTAACCCACAAGGACTCATTTAGAGGGACGGACAATAATACTGCATGCAAATGAAAACCAAAATAAAACTGGTATAGCCATTCTCATATCAGATGGCATAGACTTCAAATCAACAAAAGTGAAGAAAGACAAAGATGGTCATTATAAAATGGTGAAGGAACAATTCAACAACATAGTAATCCTAAATATTTATGCACCTCACATAGATGTGCTCAGATCTATAAAGCAAACCCTATTTGATCTAAACAAACTAATAAACAGCAGAAATGTAATAGCTGGCGACTTCAACACCCCACTGACAGAATGGGACAAATCCTCCAAACAGAAAATAAGCAAACAAACAAAAATGGACTTAAATGGGACTTTAGAACAAATGGATTAACATACATTTAGAACATTCTACTAAAAAACTACTCAATATATGTTCTTCTCATCAGCTCACAGAATATTCTCTAAGACTGATCACATCCTAGGCCACAAAACATGTCTCAACAAATTTAGAAAAAAATAAAAATTATACCATGTATCTTCTCAGACAACAATAGAATAAAATTAGAAGTCAATTTCCACAGAAACACTCCACTCTACACAAAGTCATGGAAATTAAACAACCTAGTGAATGAATATAGGGTTAAGGAAGAAATTAAGATGGAAATCAAAAGATTCTTTAAGCTAAATGACAAAGGGGGCACAAGTTGTCACAATCTGTGGCATTCTTCAAAAGCAGTCGTAAGAGGAAAATTCATAGACTTAAATGCCTACATCCAAAGGATAATAAGACAACAAATCGAAAATCTAATGAATCATCTCAAGGAATTAAAATGAAGAGCAAAACAATCCCAAAACCAGCAGAATAAAAGAAATAACTAAGGACAGAGAAGAACTATATAAAATCAATAACAAAAGAATTATACAGAAGATTAATGAAACAAAAAGTTGGTTATTTGAAAAGATAAAATTGACAGCCCTCTCACTAGATTAATCAGAAACAGAAAAGAAAGGATTCTAACAAGCTCAACATAAATGAAAAGGAGATATTACAACTGATACAATGGAAAAACAAGATACCATCTCTGAATACTGTAAAAATCTCTGTGCTCACAAACTTGAAAAATGTTGAGAAAATGGACAAATTCTTAGAAACACAAACCTCTGTATGCTCAATCAGGAAGAAATATAACTCCTGAACGATCAATATCAAGTGATGAAATTGTAGTAGCAATAAAAAATCTTCTAATTAAAAAAAAAGTCCTGGATCAGATGATTTCACAGCTGAATTTTACTAGAACTATAAAGAAGAACTGGTACCTATACTGCAGAAATTATTACATAACATTGAGAAGGAAAGACTCCTCCCTAACTTATTCTATAAAGCCAATACCACCTTGATACCAAAGCCAGGAAAGGACACACACACACACAAGAGAAAAGTACAGACCAATATCCCTATGAATATGGATGCAAAAATTCTCAATAAGATCCTAGTAAACCAAATTCAGCTGCACATCAAAAAAATAACCCCCACACAACCAAGTGGGCTTCATCCAAGAGATGCAAGGATGGTTCAACATGCACAAATCTATAAATGTGACTCAACACATAAATAGAAGTAAAAAAAAGACCAATGATCCTCTCAATAGATGCAGCAAAGCATTTGAAAAATTTCAGCACCCTTTTATAAGAACTCTTAACAAAGTAGTTATAGATGGTATATACCTCAAAATTATAATAGCCATATATAGCTTTTATATGAC